TCAATCCTAAGTATTCTTTGACTTGTCTAGTCAAGCAACTACCTAAGTCTCTCCAAGCTTGATAACATATAGTGTTCTTTTTCAAACAAGTCTCTCCATGCTCAACCAAGTATTGTTTTACAAACAAATCACTCTAAACTCAACCTTATAACAATGGTTATGAATATTACAAGGATGTTATTTTCGTATCACTTAGACATTATACAACACGTATAGTGTAGTAAGCGTTTGCAAGAAAGAATGAAGATTATATACAAGTATAATTTACATAGTGTATATGTTTCTGTACAAGTGTATTTATATATTATGTTTTCTTTCTTAAGCTTCAAATCTTCTTATACAGTAGTTTTGTAGAAGATGACTATTGCAACACTTTGAGTCCAACTCATAAGTTTGTTTCATCTATCTTCAATGTTTTTCCTTGTGATGGAAGGTAAACACTGACTCATTTAATATAAGCATTAAATGCATTTCACTAAATGATATTATTTATCTGATCAAGAAAAATACTTATCATATTTCCATACCAAATGGAGTTTGTAGAACCAATGTTAGTATAGAGCAACAACAATAACGTCTTTTTCTACTTTTCTTTGTGATTTTAGGGATCTTCATCCTTGGTTCTAATAAAAAGCATGATCTTGTTCTCTTTTAATAGATTTATGAATTCTAAAATGATTTTCTAGTTTGATATGTTAAGGAATAAAATATTCAAATAAATTTTATCGTTAAATAATGAACATTTAATTAATATGAGACAGATTGTATGTTTCGTTTGATTCACATCATCTTACAGATGATCTACGTCTTACACATCGTCTGATAAATATTTTGGAAGACATTTTCTCTAGTAAAAATGTTTCATTTGTTAACATTAAACTCTAAAACTTGAGGGATCCAAGATCATCTTTTGAGTTAACAAATAATTTGGAAATAATTATTAAGCATTATCTTTTAATTTTTAAAAAAGGAATAATTAATGGGTTGTGCTGACGAGTTACATGGGAGTTAAGGTTAATGTTTTTTATATAAATATATTAGTAAGGCTATGATTGCTTCAAAAACACTTTTAATGCGTGTCTTGTGATTTGGAAAGGTGGAGAATCGAAGATTGTCAGAGATGACTTTGACTTCTATCAAGGTAAGGAAGAGTGAAAACCTCATTTTGGGTGTGTGTTATCTGCGGGGTAGTAGGACTGACCTCAATCCCATTGTTTGTATTTGAATGTATGAGGGATTAAACCCCAAACACTTCTTTGTGATTATCATGTGTATATGTGGTTCCTTTGCTTTCTAATTATGTTGTTTGTTGCAATTATGTTTCTGATTTGTGAAACTAACTTTGAATATGAATCTATGAGTGCCTATTAGTTATGGGCATGGGGAACCCCAAACTAGGTGTTGTCATGTGTCTACAACTAAAAAATGTATATTTGATTAATTAATGAGTTTAGCTTTAAGTAATAGACCATGAGAATTAACTGATTGAGATAAGTGAAATTATGTGTGGAAAATTGAAAAAGTATGAGATGTTAATATGAGTCACTAAAATTGTGAGATATATGTAATATGTGACAAAAATGTAAGTGATTATGTGACTAAGCCTATGTATATCTTAGGAGTGTGAAACTCTGGGTGGATGGCCTAGTAGTGATGTGACTCATGTAATGAGTTATGAATGTAAATTATGTCACCTTGCATAAAGTCGATATAACATGCATCATTTGCATTGTGTTTTTGTGATGATACAATGTGAAATACACTTCCAAGCAAGGACGGATTCATGAGAAGAGAGTGAGGGCATATGCCCCCACTACCGTTTTATATATGTATATATATATATATATATATATTAAATAATATATTTTTAAAAATAAAAGTTATATTCTAATAAAATAAACATATATATTTAAATTATCATATGTATAAAATATAAATTTAAAAGAATTATTCATTTATTTGATATTTATCAAAAATTTTAAGGAGATTAATTATCATATGTGATAAAAAAAATATTCATTAATAACAAATTAATTTTTTTAAAAAGTTTATTTTTTGATAAAAATAAAATTTGCAGCATATATATTTATCTTTTGTACTTTCTATTTATGTATACATTTATTAAAAAAAGTAAAATAGTAAAGATTGTAAGATTATGTATGTTGATTAAAAAAATCAAAATGGGAAAGATTAGAAGATTTATATTCTATTTAAAAATTTTATTATAAAATATATTTTAAAATAAATTATCATCTAAAATATTATATTAGATATTAAAAATATGTTTATATTATAAATAAATTAAACTCGATTTTTATATAATTTAACATATTTATTTTTTATGTTTTTATTAGTATTAAATTATTATAAAGTATATTTTTAAAATTGTAGTTCTAATCAAACATTTAAAAAAATGTCTATGATAGATAAATAAATTATATTTAAAACATTTATTTAAAAAAAAGTTAAGTTTAAACCTATTAAATTATAATATAGTATAGTCTGACCTAACTTATTTTTATCATTAATCGTAATTATAAATATAAAAGCTTGTAAAAAATAATTATGATATATATTTATACTTTTAAAAGTTATATGTAAAAAATTCAATACTATAAATATATAAATAATTATTGCTCCCACTATCTAAAATTCCTGGATCCGTCACTGCTTCCAAGGAAGGTCTACGTTGTGTAAAAGCTTTCATGGATATTGAGATGTGTGGAACAAGCCTTGGTACATCATTTGAATATAATATATTGTCTAGTATGCCTTAATTATTGAGAATTATAAATGTGATTAATAATATTTTTTGTTTTATATTCATAGTTATCGTTATGTATGTGTGTAGCTACTAGGCCATTTCCTACATCGGTATCTGAAGTGAGATATTTTTTACTTCTCTTTTTCTTTTATTATTTTGCTTTGTTGTATTTGTGTAGGTGAATTTAATTATGGAGGAGTCAAAGTTTTAAGCAAGGAATGCTCGATAAGATGTGACATCGGGACATTAGTTAGAGACTGTTTTCCATTTTTATTACATTAAGGACTTAGTTTCTTTTCTTAGAAGATGTTTCTGCATTAGTTGATATTTTTTGTAATTTGCTTTTGTTTTAGTCTTGTTATTTTGGAGATTTGAATGTGATACCTTTATCTTTGTTTTTCATTTAATAAATTATTACAAAATATTAGTATTATAATATTATTGATTTTATGCATATGAAATACAAGGTGTTACAAAGAAATTTTAATACATTAATGTCCAAAATATTGTTACTTATGTTTTTAAATTTAATATTATATGGATATAAAATTATTTTTTTTTTAAAATTCTCTCATCTCTTTATGAATCAAACTAGAAAAGAGTTACCTCCTTTTTCTTCTCTCTTCTTCTTGGCCAAATAAAATTTCTAACTTCTATCATCCCATCCCTTCTCTCCCCTCCACCCAATCCATTAAAATCTCCCCTCTCTCTTCCCCTTCCTCCCTTTGAACATTTAACCTATGAATAATACTAGTTATATATTTCAAAATTATTATAAATACTATTACATAATCAAGAGAATATTTTTAAATTATTATCACGAATACACAACTTCACCATCGACCACGGTAAGTATATATACATATATAATCATTTAATTAAAAATTATTAAACGACATAAATTTTGATAAAAGTTACGACATAGAAAGTTATTAATGATAATTTTTTAAAATAATATTAAAATAAATAATATATTTACTATTATCCAATAAATACAAACTATTATTATTTGTGTGAGAGTGGTTTTAGGAACTTCTCTCTAATGAGAATGGTGTTAGGCATTTTTCCTTGATGGGGAAGTTTTAGAAATTTTTTAATTTTTTATCTATTTAAATTTGTATTTATCATTTGTATTTCTAAATTATATTTAATAATTTAAAAATAAAGTATTAATAATTAATTTTTTTGTTACAATGTAAAGTATTTTTTTTTCTTTAGAAAACACATTTTTAAAAAGTAGTTTCCAGAAGATTAAAATTGAAAAATATTTGATAAAAAAAATTAAAAATATATATTAATTAATGAAGATATATTTAACAAAATGCCAAATGTTACTCAAAAAGTTACAAGACCTATTTGGTCCAATATTTTTTCTCTCTTAAAAATATATAAACTTGTGCAAAAATAAAAATGGATTAATTTGTCTTGATCTGTCAAGTCAAACAAGCCAAAAAAATTATGACATATATCAAAATCAGCCTTTCCCATCTCATTTATAAAACTTTGATTTGTCATATCAAGGAACCTATTCTGAAAAATCTGCTAGAAACACACTCCACATATGTGTGTTCTTATATAGGGTGATCCAATGATTCTTTTAGGTTTTAATTTAGAGATTAGTGGACGCAAATTATGGGACATGTCATTCATTACCAAGTTTTATTTAAAGATAATATAATACATTCGTATATGTCTTTAAACTTTTTGAGTTTTTTTAAATAAGTTCCTAAACTATAAAATTTGGAATTGATTTTTTTTTTCAAATTTTGTAATTAGGTCCCTAATTTAAGGAGATAATAAAGAATATTTTGTCAAAAATAACTATTTGAATATGGATCATTAACCACAAGGAACCAATTACAAAAACAAGAAGAAAAAAAGTGAAAGACACAATTACAAATCTTTATAGTTTTGAGACCTATTTAAAAACAATTAAAAAGTTCAAGTACTTACAAATGTGTTAATTTTTTACTATTAATAATTATTACAACTTGCAATGACTTAAAAACATGATGTTGAATGTTAAAGACATAATGTTGATGAATTTTTACAAATAGTATTTTATATTTTCATTATATATACAAGAAATTGAAAAACTTAAGTAAAAATACGAAGTCGACCTAAATATTAGAATCAACATAAACATAATTTTATCAATTAGTTTTCCTCCACATTAATGGAGGAAGACACCAAAAGTATCCTCTAACTATCATCATATAATAACACAACAATCACTTTATGAAGTTTGGGGAATCTTGTTTGTGGCTAAATATCCAAGTTTGCTAAGCAACAAGACGTCTTTGTTTAGAGCATTAAATGTAGGATTATCGATCTTTGCTTCAGCCAAAACTTTCTCACAAGTTTTAGTTCCATCACCAGCCACTTGAGCATCATAGTTTGCAGATAGACTATCCACTGTCAATTCAGCTATTGAACTTCTGAATGATGAAAGCATACCACCATATATTGTAGTTGCACATTCGGCAAGGAGTGGTGAATGGTTTGTTTCCATCATTTCTTTTAACAATTTTTGGGTACGTTTAGCTTTTCTTAGTCCAAATCCAAGGATCAATTTAGAAATCTCAATATTGTCTGTAGCCTCTAAAATTCTAGGATCGAGTTTGAGAAGATGAAGGCACCTACCCTTGTCCTCTTTAGCCTCTTCGCATAGAGCCTCACACAACGTTGTGGCTAATGTTGGTAAAGGAGCATGAAAAATGAGGATCAAGGAAAAAGTGAACATCAAAAGAGGAAGTTTTGACGAATTCATTATGTTGTTTTGGAGAAAAAGATTGTGATTTCTACGTTCTTTAGGTCTTGTGGAGAGGATGAGTTCGTTTATTGTTATGGAACTCTTTATAGTCACTAAAATATTGTAATTTAGGATAGTCAGTATATTTTTAGTAATGTATATATAATGGTTGGTGTAGGTGCAATGTAGCACCTCTTTGCTATTTTTGTTTGTGAATTTATTTCAATTTCTAATATCAAATTGTTGAAGGTAAGAAAAAAACAAGTTTTAGTCTTTTTTTTTTTTTTTTTTTTTTTTTTTTTTAAATTTGATTATGAAGGTACTAACTCCTTTATTAAGGTGTGATATATTAGCCGTGTAAAACATCTAATTTTTTTTTTGCTACATTTATGAAATAAATAATATTGTTCTTTTTAAATTTTTACGTTTTAAAATATTATGTTAATTATTTTTTAAAAGGAAAATAAAGAAATAAATATACTAGTTATTTTTGTTGACGGTTATATCTACCCATAAATAATAAGCAATATTTTTTCATGTTAGAATTTATTAATGTGCTAAATTTATATGTTTTAATTTATTAAAAAATATTATCAAGATAAATAATAATAAATAAATAAAATAAATGACAATCTAGTTTTTAATTTCTAAATCTCTTAAATATAAATATTGAAAATAGTAATATGGATTTTTAATCAAAATTTTAATTTAATTATAGAATTTCATAATTTAATGGTTAAGTAGAACATTATTGATAGAGTTATTCTATTTTAAATAGTTAAATATATTAATATATGACTATTATAT